AAAATCCAGTCCGGGTTTTCTCCCACTCCATACTCCGGAAAAACCCGGAGCCTCCAAACACTTTTGAAGATTCACCAACCATCCTGTTTAAAACTGTTACTTAAGTGTAATTGTCCTCCACTAGAATGAACTATCCGTCTAAATGATGCTGCTGAAACTCTGGAAGCCAACAGTGTTCATATACCAGCAAACAAATATTAAACTGATAAGCACTGCTTGTATGAAGCAATGTAACTTGAATTATATGGGGTAGTCTTGAGAAATATCCTCATCACCCAGGGAAAAAAAATGTCACAGTATTAAACCACAACAAACTGTGGTGTTGGCAATTTCTTAACGGGACATTTAGGATCACTAACACAAGCTTATTCCTGGAGGGGAAAAAAAAAGAACCCAACACATTAGTGTAGTCTTCAAAATCATTAACATGGGATTTAGAGGGAGCTGGTTTGAATTCATTGCTGTAAGTAGGCTTCTTTAAGACCCTAACTACCTGCTAAGAAGACACTACTTTGATGCTTGTCAAAATTTAACGGTTTCAAGGTTAAATTCATTACTGAGGTGTCCTCAGATATTCACCCATCCAGCTTTGTGCACACAAACCCATCACTACCACCAAAGGCTGGGGCACTAAGCCTGGCCTGGAAAGCATCTTTCTAAGCCTCTCAAGCAGAGTTTTTACAAAATGCAGACTTCAGCACCTGCCAATGCTTTATGAACCCTCTGTATTTTCCTTCTTTACTGAAAATAGATTAAAACCTTTAAAAAATCTGCAGTTGTACCTTTTGTAAGATTCATATTCTCAATAATGCTGTTACTGAAGTTGGAAGTGTTTAAAAAGACTTTATTCTCTATCCAGCTGCATCAACAAAGCTATATTCCCCACTATTTTAAACATGCTGAGTTACCTTGCCTCACTGGGAGTAAAAAAAGAAAGTTGCCACTGTTGAACTGCAGGTGTTAAAAGAACCTAGAATCAAATTTGCCTCTAAAATCCTAGAGACAAAGTCTCACCACACTCCTCTGAACTGCAGAAATTAAAGATTAGTTGAATTTCTGTGCTGTGTCTGAACAGTGAATTAGAGCAATTTCTGTGATCTATTTTTACTGACACAAGGCTTTCAAACAGGTTCAGACATTAATCACACTGAAGTTATTGCCATTGCAGAAACGAGTATAAGGCAACTGATGTATTTGCGCCCACAAATTCCAGAGGGAGCTTCTGCACTACAAGCCTACCTTTCTGAAAAAGGACTAGTGCAGTTCTGGAGCCAAGTTACTGCCTGACAAGGCAGGGCAGGTTCTGTCAGCTCAATATCCCTGTCAACAGTGAGGATGGGGGAAACCATGAATCCCTGGTGACCTGGGCAGGGGGACGAGACAACACAGCATCAGCTGGAACTGGAGAATTCTCAGTACAGAGTAAGCTACAAAAACATTTCAAGGACTCCTCGTGCTGGTTTACTTCACATATAAGAAAGCTGATCATTAGAACGACTTGCACAGAAGTCCTATTTCTCTGAGATCAATTTTAAAAATACTTACTGCTTTTTAAGGTGTAGAACAGCACACCTATGGCTTCTAAAGTGAGCAGAACTTTGCCTGCCCATCCTTTACTTTAGGGGACTACAACATTCTTCAGCCAAACGTTATCCAGAGAAATCAGTTCACTTAGTGGCCTCTCATAACTTTGCTCTTTGAGACTGCAGACCTGCAAGGATGGCTCCAATCCATGAACTGTTAACATGGATCAATCAACCTAAACAGGAATGGAAATGTCTTGAAATCATTTAAACATGCATAAGAGGGGAAGAAGAGGGTAATAACAATAAGCAGGAATCATAAATATCTAATATCAAGACAAATTAAGTAATTCAGGTGTTGCCTCCCCCTCTCCTGTCCAACGTTTGACAGTGAAATCCAACTCACCCATTTTGCTGCCTTCATCACTTTGCCCCTGTAGACTAAAAATGCATTCCCAGGAAGAGTTCTTAAAACAACAAGCAAATCCTTTAAATGAAAATTTAAGTTTATTTTGAATTTTTAAAATGTCATTTCTATCAATTTAGACACACTGTTTGACATTATCAGATCAGAGAATTTACAGTGACTCATGGATAAAGATTTGGCTTTTACATTCAAATGTTAAATACTTCAGAATAGCTTTGTCTTGTTATTTCCAAACCAGAAACACTAAGGAGCATTTTATTTTGCCTTTCAACCACCTTTGTTAATTAACAGACTTTTGATATCTGCTGTACTTGAAGGGGAATGTGCAAAACACCAAAGGAATTACTCTGTTTGAATGAAGTGAGTACCTTAATTACCGTTCCAGATTTAAGACTCATTCATGGTAGCATTAAAAGACAGTGCTAAAACATGATTTTTTAAAAAATGTATTTTCCTCAAGTAGGCTGCAGAACCTGACCAAGTTAAAAGCCTCTTTATGAAGATAAAAAGGTCTTGCTATCCAACGTTAACATCATTCAGTCTTACAGTTTAGCAGGTTTTGTCTGGTTTTCATTAATTATTTTGGAAACTATTGCAAAATTTCATCACTATCCTAACACAATCCTTGTATTAGTGTTCAACAACGAAGTTCATTTCATCTATCAGACTTAATTGTGTTGATTTTATTGCTTACTATAGTTTATCTTCTTACTCTAGCACTACCTTGAAATCAGTCTCCTCACTGCAAATGTTTGTTGTTTATCCAATTTGCCCATTCTGGCAAGGAGAGTGTCCCTCAAGCTTGTACCACTCATTAACTGTTCCAAAGTGACTGCCACCCTCCAAGAGGGACAGCCTCCCTACCAAGCATCTGAGAAGTTCAGAACTCCTCCAGTTTGTAAAAACAATGTGAGCTCCAAAGCCCAGGGAAAAAAAGCTTTTCAATTTTAGCTACAACTGCCAGGATCTGCTGACAGGGGGAATCTCACAGGAAGGTACTCACACAGTTTGGATTCCTTTGCACACACACCTGGCAGAACAGGCTGCTGTGCCTTCAGCCAGCGGGGAGCACGGCATGGAAGATCTGGGACAACAGCAGCAGCTTTCTGCTGGAATCAAGCCTTTGTAGTATTAGCAAATTTGGGGCAGGGGGGAAGCACAGGTTTTGTTTCTTAAGAGGAAAATCCTTGTCAAATCTCACATCATGCATTTTCTCCCCCACCTTCATTTTCCCTGTCTGGTGGCTCAGCACCAAGTGTGCCAGGAAGGCTCTCAGTGCCCCATTCCCTGGCACAGCCCTGCCCAGCACACACAGCAGCACAGGGAAAGCTCTGGGACATCACACTGAGAAGCCAGACAAGAAACACGAATGCATCCTGACCTTCCCTGCTGGTAAAAGTCTGTTAACCTGCTAAATCCACAGGAATGATGATATGTAGCTTCACACCCAAGGAAACAAGTGTATTCACAAGCCTTTACAGTTCTGCCCCTGATGCTGTTTTCACATTTGCTTTATTCACTCTTTTGGATGACTATAAATAAGTGTTTCCACTATGGAAAAGAAAGTTAGCACAGTACATTTTCATGACTGGGGAATGGATTTTTCTGAAGACACCTTCCAAAGGGCAAAAGCTTAGAAAAAAGCAACCTGAATGTTGATCTGTGTTCCTTATAAAGTCCCTTGTAAAAAAAAATTTTAAAAAACCCAACAAAACAAAAAAAAAAAAGAAAAAGAAAAAAAAAAGGAAAAGAAAGAAAAAAGTAAAGAAAAAACTGCAAGGCCCAGGATGATTTTATTGCTTTTCTTCAGTTTTTTCCTTGGTCTCCTTCTTCTCAGATTCTCTGCTTTCTTCCTTTACAGAAAGCTCTTCTAGTTTTTCAGCAACTTTATCAGCACTATCATTTTTGTCTGTGCCTGCTAAAAGATTGATTAGGAAAAGTGTTACATAGAGGCAGTAATGGATTTTCCTGTTACAGGGAAAAGAGTAGAGAAGTGGATGGTGAGGGGAGAGACAGCTGGTATTCAGGATGTTAACAAAAATAAAGACATTCTCCACCGACCACTGGAGTGACTCATTCCTTTTCTTTTCCTCTGGTAATTATTATCTCAGATGTCAGAGTTCAAGAAATACCACTTGCATATGTTAATCACCACATAAGGGCCTAATTACAGAGACTGAGAACTGTGTAACAACTGGCCAGCTGTGCTGCTGCCAATGACAAGCTCCACACAGAGCCCAGACAAGGCCCAGCCTCTTCTCATCTGAACCACAACCACCAGAAGTCAGGTTCCCCAGTCTGAAACTGAGGAACAGGAGTTCTTAAAACTGGCAAAGCCCAGTCTAAGTACCTTGAATAATGCTGATGCAGACCACAGGTAGTCTGTACTTAGAAAAGCTGGAATTGTTTATTTGATATGGTGACACATCTTGGCACACAGGCAATTCCATAAGGTGGTGCAACAATCTATTAAGAGACCTGTGAATAAATGCTACGACTTCATACACATTAACAACTATACAAACCATTAAATATTATACTTGCATGATTATATTTTTGTGGAGTTTGGGAAAGGGAACTGGGAGGAAGAAGTAGGACTGTGGTTGCAGTGTTCACAGTTCATTTGTATACCATAAACACTTCCCTGGTATGCTTTCAAAAGAAGCAATGTCCCAACAGCAACTGTAACAGCCTCCTACAGCAAAGAAGGCCATGGTCACTGCAGTGAGCTTTACTCTTGCAGACAGAAAAGCACCTGAACTGAAGGCTGCAGTTCAGCACAGAGTGAGTCTGCTGGAACTCGACACTCCAGGGCACTGTCACCACTCACACAGCTGGAAAACTGAGACCACCTTACCTTTCTTTGCTTTCTTGCCTACTTCATTCCTGCATTCTTCAAATTTTGCCTTGAATTTCTGTGCATCTGTTTCAATAACGATAAAATATTTTTTCATTAGTTTTGCTGCCTCACAACATTGAATATTTCTAATTCTGTGGAAAGACACCCAACGAGAAGCTGTGTAAACAGCATTTGTAGGGACCTCTGAAGTAATCTAGTAAATCACACAGGATGCAAAATTCTTCAATCACATCTTTGTGCAAAAGCAGTTTATTTTCTTCAGCAAGTCTACTGAAGCAGTTTATTTTGCAAAATAATCAAAATGTAATGCCAGCAGGAGCTGTTTTGTAGTTATTGCAACTCCCAGCTGTCTCTACCCTACAGGAATAGGAACATGTCAGAGACTGCTCACACAACTATCTGTATGCAAAAAACTGAAGATTAGCTCTGAACTACTATGTTTGTGAGCTATGTTATACCCCAGGAGCCTTCCACAACCTTCCCATGACTTGGGTTCTTAGCATGAAGAAGGGTAGCCAATGCCTGTTCCATCAGCACAGCACTCACTCTGGCCCAAGGGCTGCACTCCAGCTGCTCCTGAGACAAGAGCTAAGAATGCACAACTGTCAGGATGTTTTGGTCTAAGCCACCACTCGATTCACTCCAACCAGCTGATTTAGCTACACTGATGTTTCTACACGAGTAATACCAGCACAAGAGACAAAAGAGGAATGGGCACGGTGCTTCCTAACCCCAGAGCGACAGAGGAGGTAACTTCCCATGCCAGGCTGGGCTGGTTGCCCACACGAGGTCACTGTTGCCCCACAGGAATCCTGAAAGCACTATGGAACTAGCCCAGGAAGAGCTTGTATTGATTCCTTTTCAAGCATCTCAAACAGAGGAGACATTTGAAGGAGATACTTCTGTCTGTTCACCTGTCATCTCCTTAGTCAGTACTGCAAAGGGCAAACAGCAGGACAGGAATTCTCCCCCAGGACACAACATTCAAAAGGCTGAACAGCCTCCACCAGAAAAAGGGACTTTTCAAAGAAGACGAGCAAATAATTACCAAACCCTTTTAATTTCCTTTTTGATCATGAAGCAAGCACTAAGCAAGTGGATCAGAGAGATTTGTTTGGCTAAATAATGATGTTGGATATAAGCACAATACACTAAGTCCTTCCCAGATGCAGGCAAATCCATCTAGTTTTAGAATACACTGATCCATCTAGCATGTGGGGACAAAAGAAGGCTAACACACTAAACTGGTGTGGCAAATTGTAAAGCAGGAAATGCAACACTTTTTTATTTCACATGTTTAAAAAAAAAAAAACAACCAACAAAAACAACATAAACTCTCCCCCACCCAGACACTACTTTGATTTAATCCTAGCTGATCCATAATTAGAGTTACTTTGCTGTTGTGGTACTCAGTGTAGTCACTCCAGAAAAACCCACAAACTAGTATGAGGGGTTTGACTGGCACTTTTCACTGAGAGATTCACCTAATCAAAACACAGAAGATACTACAAACTTCATTTAAAAAAAACCCAGCAAACACTTAGATGTTCTGCTAATGCAGATGGACCAGAAATATCAGATCAGGATTTCCCTGCTTCTAATGCAAATATCTAATCTTAACTACAATTCAGCACCTGAGATAAAAGAACACAAGCTGCATGTGAGCCTCTAAACTGCTTTCAGTTTTATTCTAATTGGCATTGCACTTGCATGAAATGGCTTAGGTTAAAAAAAGGGCCTAGGGCAGAGATTGAACAAATATTCCTAAAGGCCTAATTACCACAGTGTTTGTCAACACACATGTTTAGTGATTACCAGACTCCTCTCAGATAAAGAAGTAATTAGCTAACACTGCCATGCAGGGTGAGACAGTGTATCTACAGCAGTGATTTTACAGCAGTTCAGACAGGCAGTGTGACACAACAGTTTACAACCAGGGTAAGTTCAGTGCCATCCACTCACTCTCTGCGTTTAAAAAGCGGATTGCCAGGAGTTCAGGCTTGGGGCACTCGTCTGCAAAGTCAGCGTGTGTGTTCCAGACCCAGGCCCTGTCGCTCCCGGCGTTGGGCTTCAGCTCCATTAAGGGTGTGACTGAAAAGAAAGCATTGGAAGATGTACAGAGCACAACAGGAAAGGTTTTCCACAGCAGCCTCCAGAAATCCCACTGGCAACAGCCTGCAGTGGTTACGTAGAGCACTCTGCACAGAGTTACTCTGGATAAATATAAGACAGTGGTGCCCATATATAATTTTCCTTACATCACCAAATAAAACAATGCACCATCACTGTGTCAGAGGATTCCCTACTGTTAAAAACCTGAGGGTTTGATTCAATTTTTTGTTTAAAACAAATGACTGTGATACTAAGATGCAGTCACTAAGCACAACCCTGAAGGCAAATGACTTAGGAGGAAAAGGTATCCAGACAGACAAACAGCATTCATTCTTCCTTTACACACTGAAAATACTACCAAAAATTAGTTAAAAAAAAAGCATTATTCCTTCAATTAATCATCAAATTAACTTCTCTGCCATCAATTTAAAGCTGTAGTATAAGGTATGACAGACTTCTGCAGCCCTGCAAGGTGCACACAGTGTATTTTCAATCCCTTTGTTCTCTCCCAGTAAATGGAGCCCTTTCCCTCCAAGATGTTCCAATTACTTCACCTGACTGACTGGAGAAGTTCTCACACTGCTCTAAGACTTGGTGCATTCCAGACATGCAAAGTTTAAGGAGGGCTTTTTTTATCCTTGATCCCTTGGGTCCTGTTTAGTTCAGGAGAAATCTGAAGACTCTACTCCCTTCCTTGCATTTTTAAAATCTAGAGATCAAATTACATTTTGTTCCATTCAGCGTTTTGCAAAAATGAAGAGAGTCCTTTTGTCTGCCTGTGAGTCAGCACAACTTCATTGAACAAATCTATACTGAGAGCAGCTTTTCCAGGAAAAAAAAACCCAAACAAATTTTGACATGAACATTGTAAATTTATCAGTTCTGTTTTGTATATGCACAACATTTATTTCCTTAAACAAAAGTTTTTTTCTTGCTGGTTGGTGACTGCACTGCTTTCATATTTGCCATTTCATTTACTAAACAGGAACACCTGTGTCCTCTGAACAGTCTGACTTTCTGAAGGATCTACCCCAAGAAAACAAGAATTACTGCTTCTGACTTGAGGTTTGTTATTAAGCTACTTCTTATTTTAAGTTATCTAAATGTAGTTTAACTCCACAGACCACTATATACTCCTGCTATAAAAATCTGACTATTACCAAAGCAAGCAACAAAGTATTATCAAATTAATCTACTTGTTGCAATTTATGCTGACTTTCAAGTATGTCCTGCACTTTGATGTTCCTTTTATTCAAAGAGGATTCTTTTTTGAGTGAGTCAGCCCAATGCACCACATTCATTTCAGTTTATTTCACAAGCAGAGAAGGGCAGACAGAGATTAGTTTGGCACCTCAGTATCTGTTTTCTGATGGTTAAGGGATTGGTTCTAGCAATTCCAAGATTTAGCTTTAAGTAGTAAATTATTACATGATGGGTTTTCTCACCCTTTTACAAAAGCAAGCCAGCATACATTAAATTCTTATCCCAAACAGTATTAAGGCCTGCATTTTCTATACTCTATCAATCATTAAAGTAAACTACACACAACTGGAAGTTACATAATGCCTGTCTATCCCAGCTAAATTTTAAAGTGACTTTAGTTAGTCTTAGAGCAGTATCAGAGTCTGAAGGAAAAAAATTGCAGCTTCCTTCCATTAACAAAAATAAGCCCTAATGGTTTTTGATGCTTGTGGCCTTGTGTGAAGAGCAAGAGACAACTGTATTTACAGTCTAATATAAATTTGATGTCTGTTCAAAAGACGTACAGCACCTCTGTAGCTGCTACTGAAAACCCACCGAGTTCTTAACCTACACTGCCCGACTCTGCAGAGCCATTGCTTAAAACCAAACCAAGGAGGACTGTGGTGTAGAACCTACTGTAATGGTTTGCACAGATTTTTAGAGTTTTATCCCTCCGCATGAGGAGGCGAATTGTTCCCTTCTCCTTGTGTTTCAGGAGTTTCACATCACCAGTCCCTCGCTCCTTCCACTCGGGATGCTCGTTCTCGGACGCAAACCGGAACAGCTTCGCTCGCCTGGAGGAGGAGAGAATGTCATTACTCTGCATGCAGGAACACTTACTGAAACCCCACAGCTGACTGAGCTGCACAGTGCTTTGGAAAGCCACACACCAGAAGAAAACAATTCCTTTTATAAGGGTCTCTGTTCTAATTCATCACACAGATTTAGAAACTGATGGGATAAATTAAAATTTAATAATGAGCTATCAGAAATGATGTAATGACTATATTAAAATCCAGCAGGTTCTGGACACTCTTTGAGATGACAAACACATTTGGTTTAGGCAACCTTTTAAATTCAGAGAGCTAATTAACAAGTGTTGCTATAGCCAGAGTTCTTATGTATCGGTACAACTGCTTCATCTTCCCAGCAACAGTAATTCACAAAATTTAGCAGCTTAATGCTAAGTAAAGACTCTTGTAAAATTCCAAGCCCAGTGTTTGATCAGCTATTAAAGTGCCTCACCCTCTAGAGTCACTCATTTCTCTTTAACTCCAAAAGCCTACTTGCTGCTCTCCTTCAATCAGGAATAACGTGGAACATGTCTGCTCCAGAACATCACTGCTGAACCTTCCAAGATGCCACCAGAGGAGAAACAGGAGGAGTTTGGGATACTGGCCAAAACTGAGCCAAGACACAGCCTGAGCTCTGCTAAGGAGGAGTTTAGGACACTGGTACAGAACAGGAGGCACCTGCTCACACTGCAGGGCAGATACACAAATGCAAGGGAGAGGCACTTGTAATAAACCAGGGGCTTCAAGAGAAAGTGTCAAATGTTGGAGCAAGCTACTCTGACTCACATTAACTACCTGGACCAAAGCAAGTTATTCCTTCCAAGTCCAGCTGGCATTCAGCAGGTTATTCCCCAAGTTTAACTATCAGAACCACCAGCATTCACAAAAACAGGACTCCTTTCCTCCATCACCCCTTTGCAGACATGAAAATTAACCTACAGAACACCAGAACTTACACTGTTATTTCACTACCACAATCTTTTAAAATAAAATAAGTCTTTAAAAAATCCTTCCATGTGATGCTGGCCCTGACAAGCAGGGAGGCCAAAGGTCAGAGATCTCACCATGTACCTGTCAGAACCTGACCAGCACTTGAGTTACCACCAGCATCTGTGTAAGGATGCTGTATAATATTGCTCTCTTCCAGATGAGCAATAATATTCTGTGTTTAAGTAAAACCAGTATTTTTTAAATCTATTTAAAGTAAGCACATCAGGGATCAAACTCAAAACACTTCTTAAGCCTTCAGGCTACACTTTTCTTCAGGCAGATCAAGCTATCCTGATTTGACACTAGGCCCAATCTAGGGATAAAACTACGTTTTAGACAAGAAAGAGGTGCTGCCACAAATGCCCCAATGCTGCATCTGTTGCTTTTATTATTTCAGTACATTGTGCATCACCCTCTATCTGGGGATACATGGCAGCAACACCATATAGATCTCCTTTCTTTCCTCACAAGATACTTGTTCTACATTGTGATCACACAACTTCAAGCCTCTTATTATTATTTAAGTTACTGTTTTGTTTCATGCTGAACAGTTCTAAAGACAGATCTGCACTATCAGCTCCCTTCTGTTGTTCCAAACTTCAGTTTCTTGGGGCATTGTTATCAGTCACTCCCCACTCAATCTCTGCCATCACAGTAAACACCAACCAAATTGCATTACAGCTTCATACAGCCTTCTATAAACGGTCAAGTTAAAGCATAATAAGCATTCAGACAACAGACAGAATTATTGCACTTACATCTTGAAGAGTTCTTCCTCATCCTCTTCCAGAGTTTTTATTTCTTGCTCAGGAAGGGAAACTATGGGCTCAAAGTGAGGGTCGTGGTTAGAATCATCTGTATTTTCAGTAGAAGTATCATGCTCCTCGTGTGCTTCCTGAGGAGAGAGAGAACACAAACAAATAACTATGCTGTGAACCTAAAGCCTGGAGTACATATATTTCAAATTAAAACCTTTATGACTTTTCAGCAATTAGATCTTAGTAACTGAAATACCCTGTAACAGTAAAGAAAAACTATTATAGCTGAAAACAAGTGGCTTTCAAGTCAACATATGGTTAAAGTATGAAACAAAAAGGTGTTCATGCAGTGCTGGATGTTTTAATCCTACCACTCATGAACTGTGCAGAGGCTTGGCCTTGGAGCAATAATTCTTGGTTATGGAAAAGTAATTTTTTCAACCATTTCTCCCATATAATGTGTCTTATGCTACTAAAACCCTACTATTTCTTAGAGCCTAATGACCCATCACTAATGGGAAAAATAGAAAAAAATCCCCCACAACACCGAACCAACCACCTAACCCAGCTTAAGGGACACACTGCATCCCAAGTTCAGCATTCTGTTTTATGTATTAGAATCACCAGCAGCCAAAGATATTTCTGAGGCACAGCTCTAAACCTCATGCAATAATTTAAGTTTTTTGCTTTAATACTCTTCCAGGAACTTTAGGTTATGGGTAAATGGCCAAACTACTACTTCCTATTTAAGTTCTTTAGGAATCTGTCGTAGCATTCATTAAGCTTAAGAACAGTTTTTACTGTGTGCCCAGTAGGTAAGTGATAAACATCTCCAGTGCTTCATACCTATGGGCTGCTGAGAAGCACTCACTACACAAGCCTAGAAGGGAGATTCATATGCAAGTTTAATAAAACCACAAAACAGCTGTCCTGGGACAAGGGAACTGATTTGGGACAAGGGAACTGATTCGGGTTTGGCTTTTTTTGTTTCTGCTTGAATAACAGAGAAAGGAAAAACAATCCATACGTTGGGGACACTTAAATCCTATTTTTACTTTACAGATGAAGGAGTCCACTCTTACAGGCTCTGTGCACAACATCCTTTACAGTGCAGGTATACACGTAAAGCAGCTAAAATAAAGCAGCCTATTTTTACCAAATAGTGAAAAAATAAAGGGGGGGGAGAGGGAGGAGAATGAGGTAAGAAATGTGGCAAAGTAAAATCCAGTTGTGTCAACAACGTCAAAGGAGGTATCATTAGCTTTACGTCCCCAGCGTTCCAGAATGGGGGGGGAAAAAAGCAAGAAAGGCGTTACGTCACATCTGTTTTCAAAAAACAGGAAAAGAAGCATTAGCCAAACTTTTATACATTGTCCTGTCCTGTGTAAGCAGCACGTTCCGCCTGGCAATTCATCGTCCATCCTGCGCCCGAGCGATTAATTACAGAAGGCATGAGAAAGGCACCATTCACAGCGAGCACACGGGGGAACGCGGGGCCCGCTATCCCGATACCCGCGACACGGAGCACGTGGGGGAGCGGCTGCGGCACCGGGGTCCGGCCGGGCGGGCCGGGGGAGGGGCGGGACAGGGAGAAGTTGGAGAAGAAAGGAGGGAGACGGGGGAGAGGGATCACCCGAGAGCGCCTGAGGGAACGGCCGCGGCGGGTGGGGCGGAACGGCCGCAACGCCCCGGCCCCGCGCGGCCCCCGGCGCGGCCCAGCGCTCGTCCCGGGCCCTGCCCGACCCCGGCCCCCCGCCCCGGGCCCCACCTGTTTCCTCCGCTCTCCTCGCGCCCGGCCCCGCCGCCCCCCGGCCCCGCCGCCCGTCCCTCACCGCGGTGTCGGCCATGGCCCCGCTGTCCGCGCTCCGCTCGCCGCTTCCTGCGCGCGCCCCGCCCGCCTTTACCTCATTCCCGCAGCCCGCGCCGCGCCGCCGCGAGGCACGATGGGAAACGCCCGCTGCCCTCAGCCCCGCCCCGGCGCGGCCATCGCGCCGCCCGCCCGGCCCCGCCGCGCCGGCCCCGCGCTCCGCAGCCCGCCCCGGGGGCCGCTCCCCGTGTCGCCGTCCCCCCGAGAAGCGTTTTCGTTGTCCCCGTTCCCCGGCGCTTTTCCCGGCGCCCCCCGCGCCATGGCGGCGCCCGCCCGCGGCAGGGAGGGGGGCTCAAGATGGCGCGCGCTCGCGTGAGGGGGGAGGCGGTGTCCGAGCCGCTCCTTTCATTGTGGTGCCTGAGGGCCGCGCCGAGGGGCAGAGATTAAAAACCAGCCCGATCGTCCCTCTGCCGCCGTTCCCCTCGCAGCGGCCCGGCCGTGACGCCGCGGCCCCGCCCCGGGCGGTGCGCGGGGCTGGCTGAGGGGCGGCGGGGCCATGGCGGAGGAACGCGGTCCCTGCGAGCCCGGCGGCCTCACGGCCCCGGCGGAGGGGGCTGGAGATGGCGCTGAGCCGGAGAGCCGGGCCGGGGGAGACTCCGCTGAGAGCCCCGACGTGTACAGATACATCAAGGGAGACTTGTTCACCTCCGAGATCTACAAAGTAGAGATACAGAACCTGCCCAAGTACATCGGGTTTAACGACGTGAAAAAGTTCCTCGCCAAGTACGGGCTCAACCCGCACAAGATCAAACTCTTCGGGAAGCAGACGTTCTCCTTCGTGACGTTCAAGAGCGAGGAGGAGCGGGACAAGGCCGTGCGGGTGCTGCAGGGCGCGCTCTGGAAGAGCCGCCGGCTCAGCGTGCGCCTGGCCAAGCCCAAAGCCGACCCCATCGCCAAGAAGAGGCGGCAGGAGGAGGACGCGGGGCCGGGGGAGGCGAAGCGCGCGGCTCCCTCGGGAGACGAGCCCCTGAGCAAGCGGATCGCGGACGTGGTGACCCCGCTGTGGAACGTGCCCTACGAGGAGCAGCTGGCACAGAAGCTGCGGGAGTGCGAGCAAGTGCTGCAGAAGCTGACAAAGTAATTCCTGTTTGTAACGCTACTGTAGTGTGTGCGAGACTTGGCCTTGTGATGGGATGTAGCTAAATTCACACCAATTGCTACCTCTAAAATGAAGTGAGTTAGAGGTAGGTCAAAACTCAGATCCCCTGTCAAAGTAAATAGAAGATTAATCTGCGATGGTAGGGCCCAAAAGCTGTTCCAGTTGACAAAACTTGCTGTTCTTGGCCAGCTTCAAAAAATTGCTAAATGAAGGGGAATTGTTTTTAAAGTGTTGTTCCATAAGCAGGAGGATGTTTGTGCCCTTAAAAAAATGGCATTGTCAAAGGGTATAAGAGATAATCAATCTGCAGAGGTGGTAAATTACTATTGGGATTTTCTCTTTTAAAATCCCCTCAAAATTTTACGCCCTGTCTTTGTAGATCAAAGTATCACTTCTGTCTCTTGCCTTACGTGGATAAAATTGGCATTCTTTTCATGCATGGGTACATTGATAAATCCAGTACACACCACTGTAGCTACATTTAACCCTTATTTTTTCAGGTCAGCTCTTACAAAGTTGGAGAGGGTTTGCCTGTTAAAAAATTCTGGAAGAAATACTCTTCCATGTGATAATCTGATGCGTTTTTGTGCCCTATACAAGAAAATGTTTTGTGCAACTGTTGGCCTCAGCTTCTCTAACTGTATGCTTTATACTTTTTGTTTCTGATTTGGGCAGGGAAATAGGAAATAACAACAGAGCTTTATTACCTTGGTTGTTCCTGCAGAAGCAGAAGTTCAATAAATTGTGTTGCCCGGTGGAGGGAGTGAAAGCGTCACCATTACAGGTAATGTCAGCCCAGGTGAAGTGTGGGCTGGGGTTAATGAGCTGAGGGGTACGTTCCTTATTTGGTCTTAGGAGAGAGTGGACAGTGAGTATTGGACTTCATCTTGTAATAATAAATGATGAATTTTAGACATTGTTGCCTTTCATGTAAATACTGTGTGGACGTATTTATAGGAAGCAGAAAATAGACACAATTAACTGGATATTCTAAGTTTAAAATGAATATGCTGTCCCTGCAAGCCTGTGTTGTAAGCTAATACATTCTTCAGCAGAGGCAATAGTTTGCTCTTTAGATAACAAGACTTACTAACACTTTTCAGTGTTAGTTCACACAGGTCAAAATCCATGAGTATCTTCCATATGAACTAAATGTCCTGTGTCCGTTTGCAAATGCATTTAACCATAGGGGATTTGCTTCAGGAGAAACTTGGCATGTACAAATAAATGCTATATAAATATCTTACATAACTTTATTTTGAATCTAGACTGAATATCGCAACAAATGTGAGTTCTTGATTGGGATTGGTGTAAATCAAGAAGACAAAACTGTGGGTTGTCGTCTTGGCAAATATAAGGGTGGTACATGTGCTGTAGTGGAGCCATTTGATACTGTTCACATTCCTGCTATTGCCAAAAAAGTAGTAAAAGCTTTCCAAGACTTCATAAGGTGAGCATAAGTAAAATGAGTTATCCGTAAAGGTTTTGATATCTTACTCAAAAATTATTTGTAAAATGAAATATTATGAAAAGCTTAGTGTTTGTTCTGAGCTTGAAGACCTAAGATGTACCAGGCTCAGTTTTCAGCGATTCTTTCTTTCCACCTTGTGCCTGGATCACGGGCTCACAGGGTATTTTTCCCTTGCTCTTGCTGGGCTGCTCTGAGATGGGGGGACAGGGACAAGCTGAACACAGTTTTATTGCAAGCACTGGGACTTGTAAGTCTACAATAAAAAGTGTGTGTTAGTTGTGAGCTTCTTCCACTAACTGCAAAGAAATGCTATTAAAAGGAGAAATTTGAATAACAAAGGTCCACTGCTTCCTGGGAGGAAGAGAAGAATCATCCTTACAGCAAGGAATAAAACAGAAGTTGTACATTTAAGCAACAATACTTTTTTAGAAAAATGAGTGCTTTCTTTAAAAAGCAATTAAATCCTCAAAAATGGAAACCTCAGATGAATCATGAAGGTGGAAGGTTTGAACTTGGTATGAAGCAGAGCAGCTAATGATATAAAAGGTGGTGTCATTCTCTGAACGTGATGAGAAGCTGCCTGTTGCCTCTCTGTAATTTTGGATGGGTTAAAATGGGTAAAAGGATTTTGAGAACTAGGCACACAGTATTTTGCTTTAGGAGATGTTCTCTCTTCATCAGTCCTTTCTGTTCTTTTCTCTCAGCTGAGATGTGGGAGTCATTCCTTTCTTGACAGATCAGTGCAGCCTCTGTTTGTACTTAATATTTTTTCCCCATCGCTTTGGACAGCGATGTTCTTTTGTGTCCATGAACTGTTTAATGTTATGCAAAACAAAAGTAATTCTGTGTGTAAGTAACAGAGTTTCTGCAAATTGCAGGTCAACCCCCTACTCCGTTTACAGCCCCGAGACGTACGAGGGGCACTGGAAGCAGCTCACTGTGCGCAGCAGCAGGAGCGGCCACCTCATGGCCATCGCCTACTTCAACCCCCAGGTACTGCCCTGCACACAGCCTGTGCAGCACACACAGCTTGGGAAATGCTGGCACCTGAGTCTGGGGTCTGGGCATGCAGAAGGGAAATACAGCCATTACTTGCTGTAGTCTGCCTTGCATTGCTACTCCAGTTCTCTTTAGACTGATACCTGGAAACGAACAAGTCGTTCAAATGTTATAAACAGTACACACTAAATCACATCTCCAAGTCACTCAGGTGATTATTCTCCCTTCTTTCCAATGAAACCTGTAGAAATTAAGTAAGGAAGAGCTCACTGACCTGAAAAGCTCCCTGGCAAAATACTTCACAGAAGGGCTGGGACGGAGCAGTGGTGTCACCTCTCTGTACTTTGTGGAGGAAGGACAAAGGTGAGGGAGTTGATGTCTCTGGGGGACTGTGGGGCATGTTTTGTGTTTGCAGAACAGCAGCTAGCACTTGCACAGCCTTGTTTGGGCTATTTCAGAGAAGTAGCATCAGTGTTACTCATTTCTGCAAGTCACTTACCTTTTCCACAAGAGACTGTTGGAATTTCCCATAAGCAGGGCAGAAATGACCAAGAAGAGTCTCTAAGAGATGAAAAATGTTACTGCTTAGGATGTAGCACTACAATTTTTGGGGTGACTACAGCTTTGGCAGAAATTGTAACAAACATGTTTGTCTTCTCCCTTATTTTGTCTCCCCATTCTTCCCCCACCCTCAGGAAATCTCCCAACCTAGAAGACTTGCCTTTGGAGCACGTGGCTGGTGACAAGTACATATATGAAGAACTTCTTGGCCTAAAGTTCAGAATTTCTCCTCATGCATTTTTTCAGGTAAGGATGACGTGAAGTTCCTAATTTCACTGGATTTGCATTAATGCCCTTGAGCTTGACTAATGCTGTGGAACAAGATATTATATATCTAGAGATTTAATCTTTTATATTTAGTGTGATTAAATCTCTCTCTTGGCTGTAAAAGCAGTGAATGAGTGTAAACTCGATGGGAGCACACTGAGGACAACTTTTTCTTTATAGGAGTTCATTTTGTTTGCCTCCTGTTCCATGGCAGTCTTGGTAACACTGAACATGCAGTGGATGGTTTGGGGATCTTGCAGGACTCAGTTTTGTTCGCTTTTCCAAAACTTATTTCGAGCCTTCCAGCACTTTAAATGTGTGTTTTGAACTTACACGTGAAGCTGAGTTGTGTCTTAGGAACAAGAAAACGTGCTTTGCTAAGGCTCACTAAAG